TCTTTCCTATAATGAGGCAACCAGAACTGCACACAACACACTAGCTGTGGTCTCACCAAAGTTTTATACATCTCCATCATGACTTCCCTGTTTTTTGTAATCTATGCATCAATTGATAAAGGCAAGTGTCTCTTTTATGCCTTTTTAACTACCCTATGAACGTGTCCTTCCACCTTCCGAGGTCTATGGACAAACACTCCAAGGTTCCTTTGTTCCACAGGACTTCCTAGTGTTATGTTCTTCCTTGAATACTTCCTTGTCAAATTACTCCTTCCAAAGTGTATCACCTTATACTTTTCAAGGTTAAATTACATCTGCATCTGAACAGCTGTGATGGATGTGGAAAATTTGGGAGAATGAAATCTCCTTGATAAGAAGAGGGGTGGGATGGTATAGTCAAAATTGCTAGAGAGTCTGTGGACTGGGAATAGATATTAGATGAAAGCCTAATCTCTGAAATAGAAACGCAAATGTCCAAGAAAGGTCAGTGCTGAACGACAGGATAGAAATCCGATGGAAAAGTTGATTTTTCTCAAGAAGAGGAAGTATGCCAGTACAATCCATCAATGTACTGGAGGGAGGTGATTGGAAGGAACTAGTGCATGTTCAATATATTCTGTCAAAAACATAATTATCAAACTGGATCCATGTGCGGTCCCATTAGGACAATCTTTCTTTATTTGGAGGAAGTGTTTAGAGTTAAAGAAGTTATTCAATGTGAGAGGTACAGCCATGTGGAGAAGGGTGGCAAAGAAGGCAGCTTGGCTAAGCTACTCCTCAAATAAGAGGAAGAACTACTTCACATATGCTGGTGGGAGCGTAGAGGATGAAAGACACCCATGTTAGAGTCAAAAAAAACTTGCAATTGTTGAATTGGCAAAGGGCATCAGAAGAGTCCCATGATAGTTTGACAATACTGGTAAGAGGAAAAATATAGTCAAAGTTGAATTGTGGGGCATAACAAGTTACAGTGAATCTTCAGGGGTAACCATGGTGTTCATCGTGAGGAGCCAGGTTAAGCCTCTCTGCTCCTATGATGCTGCTTGGCCTGCTGTGTTCATCCAGCCCTGCACCATTCTGTTTTTACAGGTTGGTGCAAAATTAATTTAATGCTAAATACTGTACAACAGCTAAGAACAAGATGTTGAATTTGTACTGAGAAATAACCAATTAATATTATCAAAAGCAAATACTACCTAATTTATCTGGGAGGAGATATAAGTGACACATTCCCTACTCACAGGAGGAAGTTTTCAGTTAATTGTTCATTGCTTCCTCATACAGTTCCATATACACTGATTGCACAAATGACTGGGCCCTGGTTATTTGATAGGGTTGTGTGCAAGACCGGAAGGTAATGCAAATAACACACATTTAAATTCAACGCAGACAGAGAATAAAGCCTGTGACTTCCCTGCTGCTTTCGTGCCACAGTGGGGAATAATATGTGATCCATCAAGATAGCCCAGGTGCCAAATGCGAAACAGTTCATACTTTAACATGTCAAAACATGGGTTAAACCTTACCTCTATCTCATTACTTAATTGTTTCACAACGGTTGTGATGTATTTTATATGTCCCTCCAAAAGTTGCCGAGCATAAGCCTCTCCTTCAGCTTTGTTTTGCACAGGCTGCATTTCTGAATCAATGTCATCCTTGGAAATCCAGCCTTGATCCATGATGGGTTTGTCTTGAAATGGTACAATCTTCTAATTAGCCCATGCGCTTGGTAAATGTATTGGGAAGATCTAGTCTTTGAATTCATCATAAATAGGAATGAGAAGAAAACATTATTAGCAACCAAAAACATGAATCTGAATAAATGTGGCTAATGTGGTCACAATCCATGTTTGAACACATCATTTGGTTTTCGGATCAGTTGAGATTTATTCTAGCCAGTGACCTCTGCAATCTAATGAATATCAGAAAAAATGTTAAGAAGATACTGACCCTAATAATATCTTCTTCTTTTGTATTATAATGAGCTTTATTTATAAATCTCTTGATGTTAATTCCTTGATGGATTGGATTGGATTGGATTGCACAGTAGTCATCTTGGAATGAGGTATTTTGGAAGTAGGTGTCAGGCCAAAGGAAGCTAGAAGTTATGGATGGCAGGACAGCGAGGGAATTTTAAAAAATGAAAAGCATTGGGAGATCGAAGTCAGTATGGGTTAGGAAGAACATGAATAATTAGTTGATAACGAATACAACACAGGTAAAAGGGTTTTGATGAGCCAAGATTTACAGGACATGGAGAAGGGGAGGCCATTTATTCAATGGGATAGTCAAGCCAAGAACTGATAAAGGCATGGATGAAAGTTTCAGCAGAGTATGGGCTGAGGAAAAGATACATGTGATGCAACACAAAAAAAATGTACACTTTTTGGAATGGACAAACTTTGGAGTAGGAAGCTCAGTTTAACATTCAATAGGATGCAGATGTTGGTTCAGCCAGAGAAAGTGGCTGAAGAGATGGATGGAATCTATTGCCAAGAATTAGCTGAAGATAATATTTAGTCTTCTAAACATTCTTTGAAATTGTAATTTCACCAACAATGGATGTTGGACAAACAAGCTAGCAGAAACCAAATATGTCACAGAGAGAAAGAGCTGAGTGTTGCCAGCATGCAAATAGAACTTGATTCCCAAGCTTCACGATGATGATCTGAAGGAATTCCTTGAGGTAATTGTGTGAACAGAAGAAGCAGCTATTCTACTTATTATAGGATGAGTAAGAGTAGAACCAAGAGAAAACCATGTAAGGATGATTCCATTATGGATAATGAGTATGGACGAATTAACCTTGTCAAAGGCTACAAGGAGATTGAGCAAAGGACTTTAGTTTTGTGGTTATGGAGGAAGCCAAGAAGCAGAAGAGACAGCCAAACAAAAAAATGCATATGCTCCTCACATTTGTTGCAGTGAAGGAGGAGAAGAATTAAAAGGTACAGTCATGAAGGAAAAATGCTTGAGATTAGCTTTGCTCTCTAGGATAATCCTGAGTAGGGGGTGGTCCAGCCAGATGTGGTAACGTACAGCTGTAAACCAGATCTGCAAAGATCCGCACCTCTTCAATCTGGGTGAATGAATGTGAGGAACATAACATGGAGAACAAATAAGTTGAAAGTGAGAACGACTTTGCCAGGGTTGGGGGCAGGATGAAGACATTAAAAGTGGAAATAAGGGATTGGCTGAGGGGGTAGGTTGCAGTGGAAGTATTATAATGTATGCCAGGTTAAAAACTGGGAAGCTGGCAGCTTCAAAGTGTGGTTGTAATTGAATTGGGAAAGAGTTTTTCAGGATAGCTTCAGAAAGAGGTCAAAGGAGCATGAGAATATGGATGATAAGAGAAAAATCAATAAATGAGAAAACAATCAGTGGAATTGTTAGGAAAATTGGCTGAGAAAAGTGTGGACAGAAAGAAAATCTGAAACTTTTCACTTGATGCTGTTTGCATATATATCAAGTGTCAAAACCAGAGTTCATTATTAAACCCCTTCAACAAAGTTACCCATGGCTAGAGTTTCTGCAAAGGTGAAATACTGTCAAAACATGATTTGCATTGGTTAATGAGTGGAAATGATTTGCTCCATCAAGTGTCCACACCCAGTCTAATTCTGCTCTCCTTTCAACCCCCAGTACTCTGAAAATCTCCACATGTAACTTTTTAATTCCCTTTTGGAAGTATTATGGACTTTGCTTTGACAATGGTTTCCAACAGATTATTGCTAACTCCAACTACTTTTTGTTTCAAGACAATTTTTAACGTCCCTTGTTAATAATTTTCATCATCAGCTTCAACCTGTGCTCTTTGATTACAAGCACCTATCTACTCTATCTCAAACTCAATAGCTTCATTAGGTCCCCTCTTGGCTGCAGTGAAAATGTGCAATTTGCCTCATCTTTCCTATCATTTTCATCCCCTGGTAACATCCCTGTGAACCTAGGCTGAACCTTTACAGTTGAAAGCCCTTCTGCATTGGGTTATCCACTCATGAAAGATATGCAAGTGCAGTCCAGAATAGATAGACTCATGCTGTAGTTCTCCACCCCAATGCAAATAAAGAACCTGACCTTGCACTTCCATTCCCATTAGTAACTAATCTCATCATGTAGGAGAATTCAAAACCTCCATGGAAGGAGTAAATTGAACCAAGTCCAACTAAACTCTAGTGCTCCAAAAGGGAAAGGCATTACAACTTATTATTGATAATTTTATTCATTAGTAATGAATCTATTGTATTTATGATGTGATTTTAAATTAATGTGTGTATTTTTCTCTGTATATTTACATATGAAAGAATAGATAATATAAGCATATTGGAACAATATGCAGAATCAAAACTGATAGGACTGGCTTCAGTACAGGAATAAGTATGCACCATGAATTAATTATTAACTAAGAAAATCTATCAAAACTATAGTACCTACAGCAAAAGCTTATTATTTAAAAAAAACTGAATGAAAACTATTTCACAAGTCTAATTTGTAAAATCATCAACTAACATTTTTGTAAATCTTAAGCAAGTAATACAACATTTATTGTATAATTTAACTTTCTCCTTCACAATTCCAAATTCTACATTGTGTGCTGGTCTCTAACAATATAGTTAGCTACAAAGACTGCCTAAAACAATAGTGAGTGCAGTTTTTCTCTTGGTTCATGAAATGTGAAGCCAAATATCAATGAAATCAATAAGAGTTCATAAAGTTTTTCTCGATTGGTAGGTTTAAAGTCCTTATTGCTGGATATCACAAAACAATTTCAAATGCATTCGTGGATGTGTGAGAATGGTGCAAAACAGATGAATATTACATACGATCTCAGTTAATCTGGTATGATTATCTGTAACAAGACAAGACAGGAGGGGGTTTCCTGGATGAGTGTTGTGACAATCAGACATGTTTTCGGAATGACAGCATAAAGTGGCACACAAAGGCCTCAATTTGTGTTTTCTCACAGGGGTTCAACCTAGACTGTAAAAGTGCATAAAATCTGGTCATTTATCCATCCACAACTGAATACATAAAATTTATTCTATAATGGGAAACATAACCATATAGCCCACATAATATGAATGTTTGGTCTCTGGTTTGTATTAAGTTGGCTGATCCCAACCAGATTATCAGGTGATTGTCGGCTTTTGACCCCAGTGTTTCTACATAAGGCAGAGGAAAAGTATGCAAAAAGTTACATCTCTCAATCATAATTCAATGAAAAGCTACTGGAAACAACAAAAGCGGTGGGATTAGATCATCACAAAAACAGACTTGGTGCTCCCTATGATAGAAAATCCTGACAATGCTCAATGTTCAATATCACAAGCGAAGACGATTGGAAGATTGTCAGAACATATGAGACAACAGACCACAAGGAATAATGTTATTTCTGGAGAGAAGCAAATCAAGATGTTCAATGCAATTTCCTTACCAAACTACAAATATAGTAAAAGGTAACCCATTAAACTATTTTGACTCCAGTAACATTAAATAAATATTTCTCAAGGAAGGAACAAAGATGCAATTCATAATATGTGGTAACAACAGGAAAAAGACTTTGTCCTTTTCCCTGTGAGGTTAGTGGAAAGGAATACAAATTGCAGCCCACTATATCTTAATGTGTAACAAAATGAAAGAGAGCCAGTTAAAAGTAGTTCACAGATGTTATACTCCTCACACATTTCAGAAAATAAATCTCAACAACTCTGCCATATTTTATTGAAGTGAGATATAATACTCCATATCTTTCTGACAAAGGATTAGACTGTTCTAGCACCTTGTTTGCATCTACAGTCTTAGGCTTCCTATATATTTGCCAGTCATACTTCCACGAGGAATCTCCCATAATCAATACTTAATTGAGATTACTGAGATAGAAGACTTGATGTAAGTTACCACTTCAGCTTCTGCACTTGAATCAACCCTCTTTGAAAATATATGGGAGCATTTTACTGCCTGCATTCAAAATTGTTGGTTAGAACATAGAACTTGGTACTACAAGAAGTAGTTGAGGCAAATAGCATGGAGGCTTTTAAGGATAAGCTAGATAATGCAAGGAATTGACCATTTTGCTGTTAGGGTTAGAGGAAGAGGAGTAAGTGTATGGAGCATAAAAGGTGGCATGAGCCTGTTGGCAGAATGGTCTGTTACCATGGTGTAAAACTCTGCATAATTTTATATAATTTTTACCGTAAACAGTTAGAACAGTTCCCTTAGAAGTAGGGATCAGAACCAGCACACCACAAGAGCCCCCATGTGATGCATATATTACTGAAGAGTTAATTGGGTTTCAATTAGCTGTACAAATATGGGGAGCATCAAAAATATGACTTTTATGGAGTGTGGTTAACTAAAAGAAAGCTCTGACATTAAAAGTCTGAACTTAAAATCTGTTTGCATAAAGCTATCTTTTGAAGTATAACAGCCAATACAGGAAGAGGTGCACCTAAACAATCAGCAAGATATGAAAGTGCTGACGATTACATCTTCTTTCAAATGTACAAAAATATACGGCCACAGTTGTTAATATTGTGACTCATTACCATTCTTGAATAGAAACACGTACGTACGCCTTTCTCTTAACAGCCTTCAACGTATTTATATGAGGAGTCAAGTTGAATGACTGCACTTTCATGTCATTAGATGTGTAGCAAGAATTAACAAGTGAGCACCTACAGGACAAACATGCAACAATGCCATTCACTACCAAATGGGCACACTTGAGTAATGCACAGTTTAGAAATCCATTTA